GCTTCCATGCCACGCCGCATTGAGTCAGTAATTGCTGCAAAAGGGGCCCAAACCAAGTACTGAGTACGTATGCATGCTTATACTTTTCAGAGGTCCGATATTGTTCCATGTACAATCCTTGTTTTATTGATTGCATGTAATATTCTAATTTTCTGAGATTGTGGATTTGGGGTTTTCATGAGCTGTAAGCCATAATCATCACAATTATGACAAATCACGGCTTGAATTATCTTGCTTTGCATGTAATGAGTCTATCTCATATATTAGTTTCACCTTTTAAGTTGCATTAGTGAAATAAATGAACTTTTGCACGATATTCTAATTATGCGAGTTTCACCTGTACATACAAAAAACAAACATGTAAAAATATTCTGCCCATTATTGTCTCACATAGGTGATCACAAAGACAAAGATCAGAACCTGTTAGATCTGAACAAAAACAGAGGACTGCAACAGGTTTATCAGGTTCCTGCAACTTAGGCAGGTCCTTGTGCACATTTATACACTACAGGAAGCAACAACATGGGTGTGTACAGCACTTTGATCCCTACAAAGATTACAACTCATCATAAATATTTCAACAGCATAAGAGCTCCAGGAGGGAATACTTTGTAAGTCTATTCATAGAGGATGTAATCATATTGGGTTTAAAATTAAAATAATTATTATGCCACCCTTCAGTCATATGAGATCCTAATAGGTTGGACTTGAAGGACTAATGTCTTTATTCAACCTCAAATACTATGTAAGAGCCAATATACTCTAATAAATCTAAATCTATTTAATTGAACATAATAATTTGCTTTACTCAAGAGAAAAATGAAAATGGAAAATAGTGGGCTTAGGGAGGCAAACTATTGGAAAATCTTTCATGGGAAGATATGAGGATAGAAATATAGACACCGCCATTGCTTAAAAGGTTTTTACATACTGAGCCTTGACCAGGTAAAACCGTGAGCTGCACTAGTCACAGAATACACAAATTCTTTAACATTGTAAACTCTTATGGGCAGGGTCCTCCTTATCTTGTCTTGAATTGCAATGTCTTCTCTACATTGTACAGCGCTGTGCAAACTGTTGGCGCTATAGAAATCCTGAATAATAATAAATAAGTTCAAATTTTACTGGCTGCATGACTACTACTTCGTGAATAACTGACCTGGAACAAAGTCAGGATGACATTAAATATGACCCTAACTCATCTGCAGTACAGATTCAATTTAATCATTTACAAACCTAAAGTGTATTTTTTTTTTTTTAAATAAAACCCACTTCAGTAGTCCAGTTCTCAGGGACACACTCACCAAAGGCTTGACTGCTCCAACTGGGGAGGTATTATGCCCTGCATGCCAACAATCTAATAAGTGCAACTGAGGCTGCCAAGGTGCTCTCACTGTAAGGGGCGGGGGGTGTACTTTACAAATAAGCAAATTGTAAGAAGAAGAACTACTAACCGTGGAAAAAACAAACAGCAAAATATGCATTTCTGCTACTGTAAATATGTCTAAAGATTAGGGATGTCCCGATACTAGCATCGGGCCTGATACAGGGCATTTTCACGAGTACTTGTACTCGTGAAAATGCCCCGGTACTAAAGGCCGATACCGGCACTTTAAATTCTTTTTAAACGAAAAGGCGGAGGGGGCGTGGCCCGATGCCGGGATGAGCGTGCGCAGCCTTAACCTCCCTCTGCCCGCACTCCACATGGCTGCCTCGGACTCCCGCTCGTCTCGACTCGCAGATCCGTCCCTGGACTCCTTGGCTGAGTCTCCAGCTGATGGAGCTTGCTCGCCAAGCCGCTCAACTGACAGCCACTCCGGATCTCCGCCGCCAGCTACAGGTGAGCCTATGCACTACAGCCCACACACACTACCGCTGGGCCCGCAAGGATGCTGCATAAGCCGGGAAACTTCCCTGCCTGTCACAGCTCCTTTACACCGCAGCAGGTCTCCCAGCACTGTGACAATGACTTCTGCTGCCATCCTATTCAACAGCCACCATTAGAGCCTCCCCTGGCTGTTCTTCTTCAGCCCCCAGATCTTAACAAGCTTCTAGATCGCAGGACCCTAGTGTGCAGCCCTGGTGAGACCCAAATGCATCCCATATGAGACCACACACAGCCATATATATTTGCTGTATAATCATGGAGTGATGGGATCTGTAGTCGTCTATTGCGTGTTGCTGTATAATCATGGATTGAGTTACAATTCTTAAAAATTATAAATAAATTGCCCTAAAATCATCAGTCTGTGTTGTTTTCGAATAAAAGGTCACATGTCCCTTTAAGAAAAAGTATCGGCAAGTACCAGAGGGGCAGTACTTGTACTTGGTCTTGAAAAAGTGGTATCGGGACATCCATACTAAAGATGCCATGCAATTCCAAGAGATGTTCGAGAGGCTCATATACAAGAGCCTGAAGAAGGAACAATGGTTGTCCATGGCAACCAGGTGCTCCATTTAATTCCTCAAGGAATGGATAATGGAAGAATAAAACAGACAAAATAATTGTTGGTATAGGTATTAGAAACTGTCCCTTCTTTAGAAACACAAGGTCTCAATGGTCAGAACGATTTTATCCAACACAACATGGATTAAAGAAAACCGCAACCAGCTTTCAAAGTTTATCCTTTCAGTGGCGCTTGTGAACTAGATGGACACTTTTTACCAATGCAGTCAGGCACTTTTCCTTCTTTCGTGTTTAAAACGAACTCGACCTAAGAAGTGTCCAAGATAGCAACAGTGTTGCAAGGAAGGAACCTTGTAGTGCCTGTGGATACCTTTAAGACCTTAAATTGGTCCCCTATGCAGCCTCTTGGCTCCAGCTGCACACCAGACATCAACCTTTCTTTCTTCTCTCATCTCTATAGGTTGAACTCGATGGGCTTGTGTCTTTTTTCAACCTATGTAACTTCTCTACAAGCCCTCTGTGTCAAACACCAAAGATTCAAGTAAGCAGAAAAGGCTCCAAGACAGAGGCAGGTACATCCTGTATAACACTGTTGTAACTTTAGCCACATATTAGTATGGTGCATGATCTAAAATGTCCGTCATCACTGGAGACTATTTTTCTTTCTATTACAGGGATATTGCAATGTATTCTGGAATTCAAAAGGCATAAAGCTGCGCATACATTTAGAGATTTTTCATTCAGCCTCTGGGCTGAATGGAACAGACCTACCAGATTCTTCCTCTGCTGGGCTATTGTATTCCGACAGCCAGAACCCACATCTGTCAGAATATCCCAACACAACAGTGACTTCAGCTGCTATCACTTTTAACAACTTTGAATCTCTTTCCCTGCTGCTTGACGTGATGCAATCTCCATTTCTCAAAGCTACATATCCCATTATGCATTCCTTCCAGCAAGCCGTGATGTTACTTCATGAGACATTGGAGTTGTAGGTCAGACATGAGGTTTAGTTATATACAAGGACGTGCACATTCACAGGGCTGAGTGAAATTGTGTCACTTTATTGAGGAAATACAGCCTATAGATATCTTCAATGAGTAAATTTACAAACTTCTAGATTGATTCGGTTATTAGAATTAGGTATAGAACTTATGGAAATGATGATTATTGGTATTTATATAGTGCCGACAATTTACACAGCGCTTTACATAGTGCACATTCACCTCAGTCCCCGCCCTCATGGAGCTTACAATCTAATGTCCCTATCTCAAGCATATGAGGGCCAATTTAAACAGGAGCCAATTAACCTACCAACATATCCTTGAAGTATGGGAGGAAACCAGTGTATACGGAGGAAACCCGCACAAGCACAGGGAAAACATGCAAAGTCCTTTAGCTGGCCAGGATTTGAACTGGGGACCCCCAGTACAATATATATTAACACTGCACCTAACATTTACTTTCATAATCGATTAGTTGCCCGATTTTTTT